GGATTTGAAGCATATACCTTTGGGATGGCAGCACAATTCCTTACCACGAAGCCACTGGAGCTCTCTACTGACATGTGATATGCCTCTAGGGAGAAGTCTCTAGGATGAAAACCATGTACTAAGGATAGAATGTCATCTATAATCACCACTTCTGAGCATTTTGACTGTAACTCAGTGAAAGGACTACATTATACATCAAGACTCTGCATGTGTGTGCACGTGTGTACACACACACACACACACACACACACACACACTCCAGAAACAGTGTGCATCTTCGCTACCTGTGATGCATGCTGTTATTCTCATTCAATTTTAAAATATAAACACTGGACAAAATCCACTAACGTGATTTCACAACCCACAAATGAATCACATATTGCAGTTATTGCAGTTTGCAAAACACTGATCAACAGCAATCAACTAATATTCAATGCACAACTGAGTAAGAATAAGCCTAGGAAAAGAGAGAGAAAATAACATAGTGCAGACTTAATCATTAAACTAGATTTTTTTAATATCTTCTTTAAGTATATATCTTTAAATCCATTTGGAAAAATTTAACCATAAGGCTGATGTCCAAATAGAAAAAAAATTGGTAAAATAAAATAAGATTTCAAGTCTTCTTACTTCTACTAACAATTATTACTTTGGCAAGGGGTACATTATGGGGTAAAAACTGATAGAGCGTTAAAATTGTAGAATTAACTATGAGTTTTAATTAATATATGAAATAATGTATTTGATCTTGGCTTTCCCATGTGCCAGGGATGAAAATGAGAAAGATTACCTCTCCAAGCTACAGTCTCCTCAGCTATAAAGTGGGAATAACAACAGCATCTATGTCATATGGCTGCTGTGAATATTAAACAAGTTGATTCATATAAATAATCAGTCTGAGTATTCAAAGTTAAGATGCCTTTTAACAACCACACAGGGAATGAGAAAAGTAATATGTAAATAAGGCCTCAGGAATGATAAAAACTCTAAATAAAGCCTACAGCCTCACATACACATTAACACAGATTTCTTCTATGTGTACAAATTTACAAAATACGCAGTTATCATCTTCCGCTCAGTGCACACACACTGAGTATCTTCTGTGTAAGCACTGTGCCACGTGCTAGAGTTTAAAAGAGGCATAAGATACTGTCTTATTAATTAAAAACCGTATAGTCTAGTTGGGAACTCGGGTGTCTTAGTGGTAAGGAATTGCACTGCTAACACAAAGCTATGCAGTTCGAATTCACCAGCTGCTCCATAGGAGAAAGAAGGGCTATCTCCCCTCCCCCAAATCAGGACAGTAGGTAAAAAGTAGGTCAAAAATTATATGCTAAACACCATGTATAAGAAGCAGTGAAGTGGAATCAAATTTCTAAAGGACAGACCTAGGGCAGTCAGGAAGAACTCCAGCAAGGGACAATTTACAAGGTTAGAAGGGTGGGGAAGTAAACAGAAAGAGTTGTTGATGTTATGTATCTATTGAGTTAGAACCAACTTAGCTGACCATGTAGCAGGTTTTCAGAGGCAATAAATTCCACAGGAGGAGACTGCTCACCCTCTGTGGAACAAGCTGGTGCATACTTTTGAGGTGGCTGTACAACGATGTACCAGTAGTTCACCAGAGAAAGAGGGTGGAGGGAATTCCAAATAGAAGAGGTAGGTCAAAGGAGGCAAAATATGCCCTGATAATCATAGAGAGGGAGCTCTGGTGGCCTAGTTGTAAGAAGTTGCACTGCAATCCCAAAGGCATGCGGTTCAAATCCACCAGTTGCCCTGTGGGAGAAAGATGGGCAGTCAACTCCCATATTATTTCTGAAAATCCAGTGGAGGGTCAGCTATGGGTTGGTTTCAACTCAATGGTACACAACATCAGCAACAATCATGGAGCACATCTGTTTTCTTAATGTTGAAGTGTAATCCATAATGAAGGCGGTAGTCTTTGATCTTCCTCATTTAAATGTTTCAGGTCCTCATCGTTTTCAGCAAACAAGGTGTGTCAATTTACACAGGGAGACTGCCGAATCTTCTTCCAATCATGACCTGCTTCATGTTTGCTCACCATACTAACTGAATAGGTTTGGTGAAAGTATTCAACCCCACAGAACACGTCCTTCCCGACTGTAAGAGATGTAGCACTCCCTGGTTCTGTCTGAACCATTGCTTCCTTCTCCATGTACAGTCTACTCCAAAACTGCTTAGTTCAACCTCTAGCTCCATGTTCTCTGCTGTGGAGTAAACCTCAGAAGTTTTCTAAACTTTAGCTAAAATATTCTTGCCAATCTAATGATTTTTTTAAAAAATCAGGTTCTATGTGTTCTTTCCTCAACAAGAAATTTTCTAATCAAGAATTCAGTTGACTAGTTAACTCAATACCAAGAAGAATGCCTTGGTAAGAGTACTTAGGCATGCCAGCAAGCAGAAAGGGTTCATTTTCCATTGCAATGTCTAAACTGACTTTCCACTCATTAATAACACTGCTGTCAATTTGGTTATAAATGTCTATCAGCAGACATCTAGTCATCCTCAAATATGACGGGAAGGGCACATTCTAGATTCACTAGGATAAATCCAGTAGCATCAAATTTATTTGAATTCAGAGTGACTTTCCATTGGATTTCCAAGGCTGTAAATGTTAATGAGAGGAGAATGCCCATCTTTCTCTTGTAGAGCACTAGTGAATTCTACCCACTTTCAGTTAGCAGCAAACATGTAAGGAAGTACACCACCACAGTTATTCAACGGGATTGTTGATGTTGTTATTAGGTGCCATTGACAACAACAGATGTGAAATTTGATCTATCTTATGCCACCATCTCTGATATATTTGAGCCCATTCTTACAGTCACTGTATAAATCCATTTTATTGAAGGACTGCATCCCTTTCACTGCCTCTCCATTTTTCCAAATATGATGTCTTTTTTCAAGGACCAGTCCTTCTAACAACATGCCAAAATATGTGAGATGAAGCTTTACCATTCTGGCCTCTAAGGTATACCCTGGCTGCATTTTTCCCCAAGAGGTCCTCAATTCTGTTTATACAGACACTTAGATAAAACTTATTGCCACTGAGTCAATTCGAGCTCATAGTGACCTTCCATTGGGTTTCTGAAGCTGTAAATCTTTAGAAGAAAGCCCAGTAAATTTGAACCACTAGAGATGTATAGTGTTACAGGTTAGCAAATGTCATATCATGAGGAACAGGGCAGATGGCTGCAATCAAGGCCTCTCAGGGGCAGCTCCTGCGCTGGACCACCACCTTCCTGTAAAATAACTTACAATCCGGGCTGCTTGCTAGAATCAAGGAACAAACTTTTTTTTAAAGTATGCCCAAGAATGAATACTCCCAGAAATGCTTAGAGCTACCCACAGAGCGGATGATATGAATTCTAATAATTCATGATGGTCCTCCCTAAGCAGAGATGAGAAAGAGATCTGAATGCCCTGGAGCAGAAGGATTTTCATTTCACTTACGGTGAGGATACAGAAGTATTTTATTCTATTTGATCTCCCTCAGACTAGAGCCACAGCCTTGGGTTTTTAATAGTTTTAAACTTCTTACTGCTTTAGACCAAAGATCCACAAATTTCTTCGTACAAGGGCAGGTAGTAAATAGTTGATTTTTTCAGCTTACATCATTTTGGTCATGACGACTCCACTTGGCAGTTTTAGGCCCAAAGTAGCAAAAACAGTGTGTGAGCCAATGACTGTGGCTATGTTCAAATGCAACATTATTGATAACATCAGTGAGAAGGTACCATCTGTCCAGTGAGCAGGAGACGTTCAAGTTCAGCTTTAGAATGTTTGAGTCACTGGCATCTGGTCTTGGGCTTAAGATTGCTGTTAACAAAGCATGAAAACAAACACAAGGAGTACTCACTCCATCTTGAAATCTCGTCCTTCATTTGACTGACATCTTAGCCCCATTTATCAGAAACTCAAAACAAAGATCTCTATTTCTATTCAAATCACATGGACCTATTCAGAATATTTCTGCCAGGAGTAGCACTATTTTGTGAAGGAAATATACATTAGTTCACACTAACTCCCTCATTATCCTCAAGACAGAACCAACTCATAGCTGAGCCTCCACTGGATTTCCAACCTGTAAATCACAGGAAAACTTTCATCTTTCTCCCATGGAGCTGCTAATCTATTCAAACAAGTGGGACTTGGTTTTTGGTAGTAGATTCATTCTCTATGGACGACCACCAGAGTTTCCAGATTATTTAATTAGAGCCCTGCAAACTTTAGGAGCAAATTTGCAGGCAGTATGGCATTTGAGGGGACCTGGCATCCTCACTGGTAGAAAGAGTCATGAGGGTTTTTATTTTTAAGGAGAGGGGGGAAAAGGTATCAATGCTTCTCTCAAATCCAGTTATTCCTCTATGCATTTGATCAGTGAGATATAAATATACAGTTCCGGATGCCCTGGCTCTACAGCTTTTGCTTAAATCATTTCTGTTCAACTAGGTAGGTTGAATCAAGGATCCTGCTATAGCCATCACTTCTGGCTTCCCTGTAATCTCTCAAAATGCATAATGAATGAAAGGTACAGGGGTGAGGCCATTTGCTAAGTGGCTAAGACGGAGAATGGCTATCACTGGGAGTCTTACAAGCAGTGACTGAGACAGAACTCATTACACAGCCGTGCTCTTCATAATTCCCACCTTGCAACGTAAAGTGCCCAAAATCTGTGGCACTAAAGAGTGATTAGACCCAATCATGCAGAAGCCCAGAGCGTCCCACATTCCCTAGCCTGGCTGCACAGGGCAGTTTATCTCCAGCTGTCAAAGTCATCACCCCTGCACAGATAGGATAAGTGTCAGGCAGGTGGTCTCCCAGGAAAAGAGGAGACTTCCACGTGGCCAGCAACAAATCAATCTCCAGTTCCTCCACCGTGTAAATAATAATAAATCTAAGCAAAATGTTCAGCCTTGGACGTGTGGTCCTGAGCTCAGTTACCATGACCCCCTCCTCCAGTTCCATGTCATACTCACTTGGAAGTGTTTTCAAGTATTCCTTTGACCTCATTCATTTGTTCTTTCCCAAAGTAAACAACCGTGAGATGAATTCGCCCATCCTGCTGGATGCACATCTCCCTAGAAAACAAAACATATGCTTATCTGCTTCCTGTTCTCATATTAATAGCCAAGGCCAAACACATTATTTATCAAGCACAAAGGGTCTTGTTAAACAAAAGAGCTGGGACTGAGAGGCATTTCTAGTAAGCTGTCATAATTTAAAAAAATACAAAACACCTCAACACAACAAAATCAAGCAAACCCAACTCATGATGACCTTATATTGGGTTTGTCAGGTTGCATATTTTCATTAATAAGACTATCTGTCTTTCTCCTGTGGAATGGCTGGTAGTTTTGAACCACTGATCTTTCAGCTAGTAGTCTAAATGTAACTTACTGTGTCGCCAGGGCTCTTTATTTGGTTTTTACAGTTACCTGCATCTGTACAGAGAGAGATCTAGGAAGCAAAAACTCAAATGCAAGGGGCCACAAGCTCCATCTGCTACATACAAAGGCATATGTATGCTTATATACATATTTGCATGCACACATAGTTTAATGTGAACTCTTCACATAATTTTGTGTAAACTCACTGACTGCCATCAAGTCAATGCCAAATCATAAAGACACGACAGGACAGAGTAAAACTGAACCACACGGTTTTGAAAGTTTGAAATTGTCACAAAAGCACTATTTCACCTTTTCCCCCAATGAAGTGGCCAGTGGATTCCAACCACAGACCTTCTGATTAACAGCCCAACTCTTTTCCATTGCACCACCAAGTCTTTACTTATCTCTCTCTATCTCTGTGTGTGTGTGTGTGCGCATGTGCTTGCTGAAAATGAAGAATATTTGAAGCACATCCTGAAGAAATTAAAGGCTATAATGTTCAATAGGTATTATACCACAATATAAAGAAAACAAAAATCTACACAACTGGATAACATCATAATAAATGGAGTAAAGACCAAGTTTTCAGTAATCATTTTATTTGAATCCACCATCAACACCCAGAGAAGTAGCAGTCTACAAATCAAATCATGCATTGCATTGGGCAAAACTACTACAAAGGACCTCCTTAGAATGCTGAAGACCAAGGGTGTCACTTTAATGAGTAAAGTACATCTGGACAAAGCCATGGTATTTTGAATGGCTTAATGTATGTAACAGCTGGACAATGGATAAGAAAGACCAAAGATGTCTCTGAATTGTGGTGGTGTATGAAAAGAAATGCCAAAAGGACAAAGCAGTCTGTCCTGGAAAAAGTGTAGCACATGCCATTATTGCCTTTTCAATTCCTTGCTACACATCTAAGAGCTGGACAACAAATAAGGGTGACAGAAGAATTGATGTCTTGAGATGTATTAGGGAAGGGTACTGAACAGCCCATGGACTGACAAAAGAACAGCTGTGTCTTAGAGAAAGTGAAGCCAGCATGATCACTGGAGCCAAGAATGGCAACCCTTTCTCTCCCATTCGTGGAGCATATTACTAGGACAGGCTATTCCACAGAGAGGAGCATCATGCTTGGAACGCTGGAGGGTCAGCATAAGAGAGGAAGACCCTCAATGGGGTGGATTGATACAGTGATTGCAGCAATGGGCTCAAGATGATGAGGATGACACAAGATAGGGCAGGTTTCTGATCTGTTCATATGGTCACTATGTGTCATACTCAACTCAATGGTATTTAACAACTACATGGTGATACTTGGGATTACATACTTTGAGCATGTTGTCAGGAGAGGCCAGTCTTAAGGAAGGACAGCATGTTTAGAAAAATAGAGGACATCCTGTTTGGAAAAGTAAAGGAGAGGAGGAGCTTGAATGAGATGGACGCGCGCATAGACTGCAACAACAGGCGTAGGCCAGCTTTCCTTCTGTGGGACATGGACTGGGACTGACTCTAAGCACCAACAACACAACATGTGTGTGTTATGCAAATATGATGTATATATATGTGTACATATAATTTTAAGATCCATTTCTAGAAGCAAGTTAATGGAAAAGGGTGGGATGAAATTTGAAGCTATTTTGCATGTCCTTTCATTTTTCTCTGCATTAGCTTATGTTTAACCTTTAGACAACACTCTACGTCATCATTTTCCAGAAATCTTAGAGCTCTATTTGCCAAGGCCAACTGTGCCAATGCCTTTGATAATGACATTAAAAAGGAATGACTAACTTGGTGGGGTTTATGGAAGAAAAAGAAAAGATAGGATTTCTGCCCTCAAAATATGTATCCGAGAAATAAAATGTGCTCAGATAAAATAATCAGATAATTTGTGGTGGCACAGGAAAAAAAATGATACAGAATCCCAAAAGCATGGTAATCTGTGGCTGTAATGGTTGGGGCTAGAAGGCCGGCCAAGGTTTAGAACAGTAGAGAGATGGAAGAAGAGAATTCTAGATGAGAGAAATATCACAGGTTACACTGACCTCAGGCAAGAAACATGCAGCATGCGTCCTGTTAACAAGCTGAGTTCTGAGATTTCTGCTTCTCTCTGTAGAAGGAAGTTAAGCACTGCCTTGGGAACTCAAAAGCGATGGCAGCACTCGCGGAAGCCAACAAGGAACAAGGAACGGAAGCCTGGGAAGCGACAACGTGCTTCCCAACTGAGTGTTCACTCTTAGCTACGGGCCCGCAGAATGAATCAATACCCACCACCAGCAAAACTCGCTTCCCATGAAGGATTCCTTTCTCCAACTCACCAGATAATGCTTTGGCTTTGTTTTCCAGGGGAGAACAAAAACACAGAGAGAGAGCCAAACATGGGATCTGCTGTGCTTTGAAACTGCATGCAGTTGGAGGAACTCCATCCTAGAATTTGGAAAGGCTCACCACTAAGTCTGAATAAAAAGCAATCTCATTTTTCTAGCAACATCTTTGCTATAACCATCTCCGATATTTTAAAATCTATTCAAAGCACTTCCTACTTTCAAGAAAGAAAACAGATGCAATGGGCCCTCATTCTTTATTGACATGGTTTTGTTATCAGGTGCATTTGAGTCAACAAAGACTCATTAGTGATCCTATGAATCTGAACCTATCCAGTGCCATCTTTACCATCTCCAATATACTAGAGTCCTTTGTAACAGTTATTATGTAAATCTGTCTCTCATTGAAGGTCTTCCTCTCTGTCATTGAACCTTGATGCGTTTTTCCAGGGATGGGCTCGGGCTCCTCTTCACAACATGCCCAAAGTATGTGGGAAAAGGTTTCACTACACCTGCCTCCATGGAACACTCTGGATGTACTCTTTCCAAGATATTTGTTTGTTTGTTTGGCAATTCATGAGTTATTCAGTATTCTTCTCCAAATACTAGAACTCAGAAGCATCAACTCTTCTTCTGTTGTTCTTAGTCACTGCCCAACTTTCAGAAGCATAGCAAGTAGCTGAAAAGATTATAGCTTGAATCAGGTACACCTTAGTCTTTAAACTGGCGTCACTACCACTTAGCACCTTGACAGCAGACTTGCCCAATGCGACACCTCTTTTGATTTCTTGGGTGTTGATTGTAATGGAGTGAAGCTTCCCCAAAAAAGATATAACAAGGAAATGGGAAGGAAAGGGGTAAAAAAAAAAGAAAAAAGACAGCAGGAGTTGTTCTACACTCTAAGTTTCCATTTTTTTTAGTTCATTTAGACCTTCAACAAACATATGTTGATGATACAGTGTGCCAACATTTTACCAGGATATTTAAAAAAAATTATTAAGACATTTCTGTACTTGAGAAGTTCCCCTGCTACTGTTCATAAGTAACACCATGTGTTACTGTGAGGTGCCAGTGACTAGGACTCATAAAGACCCTGTGAACAACAAATCGGCACCTTCTGCCATTCCTAAAAACACCAATATGCTCAAACCCATTATGACTGTCACTGTGTCACTCTATCTTGTTGAGGGTCTTCCTCTCTTTGACTCTCTACTTTCCCCATGTATCGTGTAATCAATAAATACTCTGTGTGAGTATGAACACAGTGCTACAGAATGGCTGTGCTGTCTGCCTGCAGAGTCTCGAGAGTATTTGAAATGCAATTCTTACCAGACTCCACTCCCTGGAGAGACGTGTTAATGTGAAAGACATGTTAGATAGTGTGTGTGCTGGGTGTGTGTAAGTGACTGTACACATTAAGAAACTATTATAGTATTTGATACCCCAATGGCACAAGGTTCAACATCACAGCAAACCCAGATTACCTCAGTACAGGAAACTGACAAGGAGTGATGTACAAAGTAGAATAATGTTCCTCCAAAATATAGTAACACTAGTCTGACTTAGCAGTGGTTGAGTTATCAAGTCAAATACATAGCGACTCTATGAATAAAGGACCTGAATTATGTTCTAGAATTAATTATATATTTTAAAATGTTAACAGATTAAAATACATTAATATAATTAATATTATATGAAATATAACTATATTACTATAACTCTATTATATTATTCTTTCTATGTTAATAAATATTACATAATATATATGTAATTATAATATATATGTAACCAGCGACACTAAGAACTAAAGTTCAGAACCCTATTCTATTCTGTGAAATCCTCACACTTCCTGGCACACAACAGGCCACTGAAGCAGTCATCATGTCAAACCAACTGGTTAAGGGTCTTCCTCTCCTTTGCCAACCCTCCACCCTTCCCAGCATCATGTCCCTCTTCAAAAACAGCCCCTCCTAGCAATATGTCCAGTATGTGAGGCAAAGCCTCTTCATTCTTGCCTCCAAAGAGCACTCGGGCTACACCCTCTTTGACACATGTCTGTTTGTTCACTTGGTTGTTCATGGGATGTTCAGTGTTCTTCTCTAACATCACAGTTCAAAGACGTCAATTCTTTTTCTGTCATCCTTATTCACTGCCCAGCTCTCAGATGCACAGCAAGATATTGAAAAGATCATGGCCTAAATCAGACACACTTCAGTCTTCAAACTGACATCACTGCTCGCAATTATTTGGAAAGGTCCCTAGCTGCAGATTTTCCCAGCGCAATGTGCCTCCTTATTTCCTGAGTGCTATTAATTGTGGATCCAAGCAAGATGAAATTGACAGTTTCAATCTTCTCTCCAT